TTCCAAAGGCTAGAGGTCTGTTTCTTATTGTGCCTCCAAAATCTGTCACCACCTCCCCACCCTTGAACCTGTGAAGATGTGACGTCAGTAGGAGCCTTGCTGGCCCATCTGAGCTTGGCCATCCTTGGTCAGTGTTTCCGGGCCTGCCTGCAGTCACACTGCTGTGGGCCAAACTTGGTTCCGCTACATTGAAACTCCTTTGCACCAACCCCCTTTTAAACACTCTCCCCAAACTCTCATCACTTTAATCCCATTTAATACTTTTTTAATATAGTTTCATGAGTTTTTATACAAATATACATCCACATAAGCACTGCCACGATCAGGAACTACCCCTAGCCACCTCATGATGCTTTTACTCTAACTCTTGGCAACAACAGCTCAAGCCACGGATCTGCTGTCCATCGCTAAAACCTTCATTCTTTGAGTCTGGTATAGACGAGGAACCATGCAGTATAGAGCCTTTCGAATGAGATTTTACTTGCCGCAAGTCTTGTGAGGTCATCCGTGTTGCCGCGTGCGTTCGCAGTTCTCTTCTTCCTATTGCTGAGCGACACTCCGTCCTGTGAATGTAACATCTGTTTAGATAATCGCCCTTTGACAGCAGCCTGGGATTGCTTTGTAGTTTGGCGCAATCATGAACAGAGCTACCATAGACGTGCACATACCTTTTATGTGAATGTGTTTTCACCTCTTGAGAAGAAATATCCAGGTGTGAGGTCACACTGTGCCACACTGCACTCTTCTCAACAATGTAGGGAAGTGCTGGGAGCTTTACAACCTTCCCCGTATTCGGTATCACCAATTTGTTTGCATTTTATAGACTTGCAGCGGTATTCATTTGTAGGTTTGTAGAGGCATTTTGTGGTAGTGCATTTTAAGTGGAAATAATAAAATAGTAAACATACAAACATAATGAGTGAACCAAAACCCTAAAACCTCAAATAAATTCAAGGGTATGACAGGGAAAAACAACTAAGATTAAATGTACAGGTCCGGTGATACTTTGTATCTCAAGTGTACCCAGAGGGTCATTGGTTCAAGGCTTTGGTCCCAGCCTGTGGCACTGCTGGGAGGTGGGGGTACCATCAGGAGGAAGAGCCTAGCAGAAGGAGGTTAGGTCATTGGGGGCACTCCTTTGAAGGGGATATTGGGAACCCAGCTCCTTCCTCTCTTTTTCTTTCCTTCCCACCCAGCACAGAGGAGTAACTTCACCCTACTACGTGCTGCCACTGTGTACTCTCTCACATTGCCATGAACTGAAACCACCAGAACTGTGAGCCTAAGCAAATCTCCTCTCCTTCAAGTCAGTTTTCTTGGGTATTTTGTCACAGTGATGGGACAGTAAGTAACACAGGCACCAATTTAAAGTCAAATTATGGGAAAGGTGGAGATCTCATCTGTGTCCCGCAGCAAGTCAATAGCATTCACTTCACTTTTAGGTCACTCTTGCTTTGCATGCACAAGACCATTCAGGAACAAATTTGGTGGGATGCCATATCTGATTTTCAGTAAATGTACTATTGAAACAGAAGGGAAGTGATATAACTACAAATACTGCTAGAGGAGACATAGAAAAGTGAGCACAGGTGTCTCTTTGTTACCCTGGTTAAAAAATTGATTTAGTGCATAATTTCTATAAAGAAGATACGTACACATCAATTAAAGAGGTCGTGCCATATGTTGGTGGAGAGATCAGTGTGGAGAGAGTCTCATGCACCGCTGAAGGCAGCATAAACTCATTCTGGCATCCTGGATAACATACCTGTGGTATTTAAATTGCATACTCATATTTGCTGAGTCAGCAAGTCTAAACCTGGGTATGGCACATGCTACAACTCTTCCACAGGGCCACCAGGAAACACATACACATACAAGGATGCTTCTTGCAGCACTGTGTGGTAACTCCTAAAATTGGATGCCCTATGTGTGTCTACTACCCCAGAGAGTAGACAGAAAATGCAGTGGGTGAATAGTATGGAAATATGAGACAGCATTTAGAAGCCAGAGGATTATGCAAGGTTAGGACTTTAAAATATTGCACTAAGAAAAGATTGTGTCACTGGATAAGATTGGTATAGCATTTAAGTAAACTGACACATGTATACAAAAACAAAAATCAATTCAAGTTTTTCTGGACCATGAAGCATACATATTAAGCACATTGTAATGAGTGGGGAGTGTGAGGTGGTAGGAAAACAGGAATAAAAACAAGAACAAAAAGAGTCGAGGTTGATTTCTCAGGCTTACACAGTGACTCTTAGCCTGACCTCAAAATGTCTCAGCGGCTCTTAGGATCTTGCGATGACATCCTGTGTGGCTCGTGCTCTACATTGCTCCAGGGGATCTCAAGTGGCCCAAAGCCAGTGCCAGAGCTGCACTCATCTTGTTTGCAAAGCCAGGCTTCTCAGCCACATGCCTGTTTCATGTCTCGGTATTTCCCTCGCCCTCTGGTGTTGTCCATGGGCTCCCATAAAGATTCTGGTTGCTCACACCCTGGGTCACATCCATGGAGGTGTGCGCCTCTCAGGTGGATGACATTCTTACACCAGATCACATCCCAGGCAACCAGAGCAACACGCGGATGGCCTTTGACTCAGACAAGGACCCCTGGTCCAGGAAGGTTCTAACATAGATGTTTCAAGATTATAAGACAGAGCATGACTTCTTGTCCATAAAGAGCAGATTAAGGAGGCATTTCTTGGGATAGGACTGTGTTGTGACTCTTCCAGGGACTTTACAATGTCCCTGAATGCGGTGTGAAATGTGCCCTACACAGAGTAGGTAAATTATTCATGAAGCTCTTGGGGATCGTGGTCTTACAAAAACAGACAGCCTACCCTGTATATGCAAACATGGGTAGACTAGAAAGAGGCAAGCGGTGGTATGAAGACAGTGAGTTTTAAAATTGTTCATTTCTTGGGAAATTCACATGCTGGAGTTCCTAAACGGATAATTGCACCATATAACTGCCTCCCTCATAAGATTGTTGTGCAATAATGTGTTAAAGAGTTTATTTTAGTACAGCCATCACAAATCCTAAGTGCTTAACATATTTTAGTTCCATTTCTTCCGCTCTTGACAATGCTGAAGAGTATTAAGACCACAGCATTCCTCTTCAAAGACTGGAGGTAGCTGAGCAAATGAAGGAGCTACAAGAACACCCTTCTACATGTAGTTTGTCCATATCTATAAAACTAGATTATTTCTGAAAAAAAAATTCCACCTTAAAATGATTGCTTTTAAATGAAGGACCATTTTGTATCTGTATATACAAAATAGTTAGGATAGATATACAGCTACTTTCCCTTAATTCAATGAGAAGAAAGAGTTGTACTAATAATGTTTGGACAGGATATCATGTCTCCATCTTGTGCTATGAATAACCACTACAAAGACAACAATATGCAATGTATTAATTATTGAAACTATCTTACTGATCGGTTTTGAAACTTTCATTGCTATTTGTTTCTCAATAAAATTAATTGAAAAAGATTGCTTTTAAAAGTTTTTTTTTTGTTTCATTTTGTTTTGTTTTTGGTTTTGTTTTGTTTTGTTTGTTTTGGCGGAACCGCAGATTGAACTCACACCCTTGCGTTTGCCAGGCAAGCATTTATTCTACTGAGCTATCTCCTCGACCCTAAATGTATTTAAATATATAATTTTTTTCCTTCTTTTTCCTCCCTTTTCTGAGGATAACTGAGAGCCCAAAACTGGGAGGCTGAGAGTGACAGCCAAAATTCAGAGGACTCAGAGCCAGTTACCTTCTGTGGCACTTGTGCGCAAATGTGGGCTGGCTTCGAGGTTCCAGGATTGACCTCTGTATGTTTCTAAGGACCATGTCTAGCTTATGTCCGAAGCGGTATCATTTCCCACCTGCATCCAGCCTTACACAATACAGTCCTGAGCTAACTGGGTGGAATGCAACACTGCTTGACAGTTTTATAAAAATCTGACCCCAACTAGCTTTTTTAAAGAAACGCTTCCCCATGAAAATAATTCTTCCCTCATATTGGATGGACCTGTACGATCATTTTCAGATCTTTCTGTAGTATAGCTAGAAAAGCAAGAGTATTCCCCAAAGTAATTCACAACCATCCCTTTGATTGCTAAAGTAATGTCCCCAGGCCTAAGTATCCATGATACTGAACACAACCTTTACTCCATTGTTTCTTTTCCTAACACAACAGTGAAAGGAGCTAGAGTCTGGATAATGGCCTTGGCACTGCGCAGCCCTAAGATCTGTGAGTGTGGAGGTCCTGGGGCATCGAAGTAATTTACCAGGTAAAGGTCAGCAGAAAAGTATTTCCACCTAGTGTACTATGCTGTTCTCTCATCCATCTGTTCTATTTTACTGACTATAACTGAACTTGTTAATTAAGGCACATGTGCCTTTAAAAAAAAAATACATGAGGGCCTGCCAAATAGCTTAGTGGATTGAAGCACCTGCAAGCAGGCGCAGGGCCAGGGGTTCAATCCCTGGGCCTGCTGTGCAGGCTCTGCCTCCGGGGTGTGCTGAGACTGCAATTGAGACTTGGCGTCGTGGTCTACAGTTGTAATCCCAGCTCTTGGGAGGCTGTGAACAGGTGGATCACTATGAGTCCGATCTAGTAGTGAGACCCTGAATACCCTGTAGACCATTCCTTAAATAAATAAATGCATGAGTGAAACACTTACAGGCAGGTTTAATGTGCTACTCAGCAGGAAAAATGTGTCCTGTATTTTTCAGATGATGCAGAAATATCAGTTCAACATCCTAAAGTAGCAACCAGTTCAATCTTTCAAAATTTGAGAATTAATTCTTATCTTGCTTGGCTGTTTGCCATTCACTTTTAATTCCTTATTGCCCTTTATAAATTAAAAAATATAGGAATCAGAAATTTGGTAGGAAACTGCAAGCCCCAAAACTACTAGAGAACAAAAAGAGAAAGTCAAGAGCTTAAAATTTAGAATGGCTAAATAAAAAAACAACACAATTTATTTTTACTTTTCTTTCCGCATATAAGAAGGGTAGCATGCTAAGCTTTTAACAGGGTTTGAGAGAGGCACATCTCACACAATGGCATGAAAAGCTGTTTATAACACTTAAAAAAAACACAAGAGAATTGATCACGTGACATAATATTTTAGTTCAAGAATATACAGTAATAGTAGAAATAAATGAATGCATTAGATTATATTGGTTACAATGTAAGATGAAACTTCATACAATTATAAATGTGAATTTATTATTTTGGTAACAGTATCCAATTATATAGAAACATACAGATTTTTAAAAAATCTTTATATGTTGCATACTTAAAATCTATTTTGGTTACAATCATGTATGAAGAGCTGCTATGTATATGCCAAAAGCATACATGACAAAGTACAAAAATAACAAATAGTTGAATAGAGAGTTATTCTTGAGTTATAATGAAAAATACTACTAAACTATACTATTTTAATCAAACAGTTGCAGGACAGTTAAAAACATACAAAGTAATACGTACTGCTATGCACCTACTTGATCTAATATAGATCTAAAGTGGAAAAAGGGTGTAGCAACATTTCACAGGTAAAGGCTAAGTTCTGGGACATGAAAACTTTTAGATAATCCACAAAACACACCTGAGATATCTTTTTATTTTGGAAAAAAGGCACTTTTCTTAATCAGCCAAAACCTCAAAATATAAATGATGTATGAAATGAACAGTATACTTTAACTATGGTGAAAGCAGGAAGTAGATGTTCTGACTTTAATGGTTCTCAGTAAGTACAGTCTATCTCTAGGAGAAAAATAAATGAGGTTTCCTTTTTTTTTTTTTTTTTCTTTTTTTGGTGGTACCAGGGATTAGAACTCAGGACCTTGCATTTGTCTGGCAAGCACTTATTCAACAGAGCTATCTCCCCGGCCCAACTGAGCTATCTCCCGGGCTCGAGGTTTCCTGATTAAGCCAGTAATCCAACTACGGTCACCTAAAACTTGGGCTCTTTTTTCATATATGGTTGTGTTTTTCTTCCTTTGACTGATAAACATATTCAGTAAACCAGGTAACCTCCAGTCACTCACCTACTTCTTTTTGTCTAAGCATAGCTTTCTCTCTGCCTCAAACATCAGGTGCTAGTCCAGGTTCTATACATAAAAACGGATTATAGCACATCTGAACTTGCTGGTTAATGAGGCATCCAGATTGGTGCAGGATTATTTTTTCTATTACACATATCTTTCAGAGTACATAAGCCTTAGGAGCCCAGCGTCACTGCGAGCCATACATCTTGGACTAGCCAGTGCCTAAAAAACTTCTATGCATTGGCTAAGCTTCATTTCTATGGTTGTCTTTAAAGCCTTTGAAAATACTGGCACAATTTTTCATATTCAGAAGATAAAACCACGAAATACAAAAAGTAAAATTCGATGAAATGTTTATTAGTTCAGTATTCCAAACTATGAAACAGTTCTGCTATGTTGTGGATTTTTTTAGAAGTCTACTTGAGATTCAACAGTGACATCAAACAACTTTTTTCTAAATGTGCATACTTCAGATTTTGTTTCAGTTCAGTTAATTTGGAATGGGGAGGAAAATATTTAGTCATCTTTTTTCCTTGTCACTCTGCCCTTCTTTCTGCTGACCACCCACATACAAAACCATCATGCACTCCTTTCTTGGTTATATTGATACAAAAATTCCAAAAATCTTAATAACACAGAGCAAACAGTGAGCTCTTGGGACCCTGCAGGACTTCTTGTCAGAGCTGAGTTGCCCAGAAAATAAAAAATATAGAACTTCCCTGCTCCCCTTTGCAATTTTCACTCTTCTATTGCTTTTCTAGCAGGCTTTCAGGTTATTTCTGTACTCCAGATATACACGTTTTGTTCCAGCTTTATTCTTTCTGAATTTCCAACAGCTAATTAGAAAATGGTTCACAAGGGTTACTGGCTCACAAATAACACCTAATCTGACCAGCCCACAGTCTTATAATTCCATTCCCAAAACAGCCTCCCAAGGGATTCTGATTCTGACATTTAAAAACAGACATAAATGCTGAACTTTTGTTAATCACTTAAAAGAGAAACCAGTCAATTATAAAGGCAGTTCATCCCCCCCCCCCGCCATTACTCAGTAAAGAGAAAGGCCAGGTCACACTTGGCATTTGTCACTCATGCACAAGTTAGCTGTCTCACCTTCTATAGGACATTGGTCAGATGTCTGCTGGCTTCAACTGGCACTCGATAATCAGATTGGATTTTAAATTAAATTTAAATTTAATATTGCAAGAATTTGGAATTCTAACATATTAACTGGGCCAACTACAAATGGAGAATTTATAGTATAAATATAATTTTAATCTGAACAAGAAATAAAAACATTTAACTATACAATTTCGAGATTTTTTTCCCATGGTTCAAAACTTTGATAAGAAAAGATCTTTGCTTTGACTTGGTTTTCATGATGTGAAAAATAGGTGACTCATTTAATGTGCTTGGACCAGGCTTCACTAGGCTTGTTCTACTTTCTGATGTACAATGTTATGAAAGATGTATTTTGGGGCCAGGGAGTAGAGTAAGCGCCTGCCTGGCAAGTGCAAGGTCCTGAGTTCAATCCCCAGTACCACAAATATATATATATATATATATATATATATATATATATATATATATATATATTTGAAACTGTTCCTACTAAAAATAATTGATACTAACATACTGTATTATGTAACATATATGTATATACACTTAATACTATTTGGTGACATGGTTTTTTTTTTAAGCCCATGAGAATTACTAAAATGAATACATATAATCATACATCGAAAGCTGGACAGCAAAGTATTTTCCTCATAATTCAAATACTATATAGATTGGCAACCCAGAGAGGTACAAGTTCAGCTTGGATTTTATAGTTTAAACATGCACACTTTAAAATTCATGATAAATCTCTGCAACTCCTCACTATGACTATTAAATTGACACACTTTAAAATTCATAATAAATGTCTGAAACTCACAATTATTACACTATTAACTTCTTTTTCAGCAATTGACTTCTTGATTCATGCTAAAGTAGGGAAAGCACATCAGGACATCAAAAGGAAGTCCACTCAAATAGCTACAAGCTCATTAAGCTATTTTACTAAAAAGGTGAGAAGGTCATTTTTGGTTCCTAAAGTTTTCCTTTGTCACTCCCAGTCATATCTTGCACTGAAATTAGTCGCCTTTACATCTTTAACATATTCTGAAAGGTTGCTTAATACAATTTTCCATGAAGTGTGTTTCTGCACATCAAGCTCAATCTTGCATCCATCTAAAAAGCCATCATTACTTAAATATTCCTTCACTAGATAGCTGCATGTGCATATGAGTGGTGATGGTGGCGGGGTTTGACTACAAAGAACGCTTCTTAAGAAATTATTACCAGGATCTCATAGTATGTAAAAATTTCATAGGCCCTCTTAATTCTTTGACTCAAAAAATCTTCCAAAGCTTCCACCTAGACCAGGGCTTAGGAGGAGCCCTTGGGTGTGAAACACATCTCATCTGCAAGCCACTTGGTTTACACCCGCTGTAAAGACTAATTAACTATTGGCACCAAAATGGAACTAAAAAATTTCTAAGTTTTCCTTCCTATCCTCCAAGACTTGAGCTTTTCTAAAATATCAGCTTTCCTCTGGCTTCTCACAGGCAAGCTGCCTCATCTTGCAACTTTTGGACAGCTTTATCAAGGAGCTCCATGGACTCTCGGAGGGAAACATGGATTTTAAAGGACTTGGGCTTAATGGTCAGACCGTAACTGAAACTCATTTCTGAGGGCTCATTTTGGTTGACCTTGAAACTGCACTGATGAGCTAGGATGGAAATGAAGAGAAACATCATTATCTTGGACAGCTCCTCCCCGATGCACCGCCGTTTGCCCACTGAAAAAATCATCACACTACTTGCCAGATCCTTGTTGATGAAGCCATCCTTGTCCAAGAACCGGGCTGGATTGAAGTCCTCTGGATTAGGCCACTTCACTGGGTCATGATTCACAGACCACTGGTTAACAAAAATCACCGTGTTCTTAGGGATGTAGTAGCCCAAGACAAAAGTGTTGTCAGTAGTTGTGTGAGGTATAGTAACAGGCACGAAGCTGGAGAATCGCATGGTTTCATAAAGAAAGGCCATGACGTAGGGCAGGTTGGGTTGGTCACTCATGCAGGGAAGACGGTCCCTTCCCACCACCTGATCCAGTTCAGCCTGCACTCGGGCCTGCACATCCGGATATCTGTTTAGTTTTCAATTGCAGAGAGAGAAAAACATCAATAATCGAAATTAACTCCTTTGTCATCTAGAAGCACATTACGATTCATTTCAATTCCACCTTTTTCTAAATAGCCTGTCTAGATAAGTGACTGAATTAATATTCTAGAGGGAGATCTAATGTACTTATTAATTTCTCCCTAAATTATAAGATGTACTTTAACAATTATATTTTCTACAGTAAGCCTCACATGGATAAAGCTCTCTTTCTCATAGTAGGCCAAAAATCTCTTAAGTTCACAGTCTAAAAAGGCACACTATTGGCCAAGCCAACTAATCCATCAGGCTCCCAGTTCTGCTGGGCCTGGGACACTTTTGAAGAGCCCATGAAAATATTTTCATATCTTTTAACATTTTCAAACCTAAAAAACAATCTTTTAGAGAGAAGAAAATGTTTCATTACACAATGTTGATGTATTTATTTTTATAGCTATGTAGTCATAAAATATATGCAGCCCTGAAAGTGGACCCCTTTTCTTCCTCTCATTTCAGAGGACTTCTTATCCTGATTTTACAAAAGATTGTTGGAATTAGCATAGATAACACTATGTATTTCCTAAACTTAAAAGCAAGTTCTCAATGTTTGTAAGGCTGTGGTACAAACTGTAATACTAAGTGCTCCTGCAGATATAAGTACAATTCTTTTGCAAAACAAAATCTGAGCACAAAGCAAGATTACCCCTGTTCGCTCCTCATTCTAAACACAGTAATCCATGCTTAGAAGTGTATTTTCAGAAAGTAATTAAAAGATGCAATTATATAGAACACAGAAATAGCTAAAATTTTAAATGCAAAGTAAATAATGAAAGTCAAAGCTCAAGAAGTGATACTAATCATTTTGTGTTATCACGGCAACATATTGTGTAGCCATCAAAACTTACTAACACAAATGCTCTGGAGAATTGCCCACTACAATAAGTAGAAGTATCAGAAGCCCAAATAACAACAATAAAAACCACATAACAATTAATGTAGCTCAGAAAAAAAATGTAAGCACGAATGTGGTGAATTTATGGATGATTTAAATAATCACTTCAACATCATATTTCAGAGGTCTGCCAACTTTTTTGTAAACTTCTACATAATAAATGCTTCAGACTTTGTTGACCAAATTCTGTCCATGTAAACTACTCAGTTCTGTCTTATGTTGTTGAAATCCTCTAGTTTTATTTAATTTAATTTATTTATTTGTGGAACTGGGGATTGAACTCAGGCCCTTGCGCTTGCCAGGGAAACACTTATTCTATTGAGCTATCTCCCTGGCCCCTCTGTCTTACCTTGTAATGTAAGGCAGTCACAGCCAATATGCAGACAAGGCTGTTTCAATAAGACTTACACATAGAAACAGGTACTATAATGTACTGATTGCTACCGTATTGTCTTTTCTCTACAAAAATGCAAAAAGTATTTATTAGCTTTACCTAATTCATTCTAATACCAAAATTATTTTATTTTCTTCTGCTACCCAACTGGATATAAGAAAAACTTTTTAGGGTTCATTCTAATTTTTTAAAAAAAACTTATTTCAATAGATAACATGCTTCTCTGGACATGGGTAAGACACTTTCTGGGGAGGTCTGTTTCCTGAACTATAGTTGACTTTTCCTTTTTTATGCCGTCCCCTCCTCCCAATATGTGCTTCTATGATTTTAAAACTGAAAAGCTATTGTTTAATATACGAAAAGTGTTTAATTTATTAAGATAGCTGCACAAAGCCTAAGGAAGCCTACAATGCAGTAGTATATGCAGTATAGCCATAAGAAGCGTCTCTGTCTTCCAAATGCAGGGTCACAGTATATTCAACATCGGGATGCCTGTTGGAGCCCCATGAAATTCGAGCCCACAACCGGGATTTCTGGTGCCTTGGACACTTGAGATTTGCCTTAAGCGCATTTGCCCCAGGGATACGGATTCTAGATAAATACTAGAATTCAGGTTTAACAATTGCATCTTTGAAGATAAGCATATCCCATGTAGAGTTTATTTTTTCTTTGCTTAGTCTGGCAATCTGACACCGGGGCCTGTTTACTCCGTAGGTGTTGGGCTCTGCGCGGCCAGGCCCTGGGCGGGTGTGGAGGCAGTAGGGACCTCTAGAGCCTGCACAGAGATCCGGGAAGCCGTGGGCGCCTCCTAGCTACCTGCACTCTCGTCTCTGGATGTTATTCGCACTCCCCTAAAGCAACTTTTCTACCTGATACTTCTTCCTAGGAACAGTTTGATGAACCTAATCCTGCTGGCTGGTTTCTGGCCGCCTGCGAAAGCCTCGGCGCGGGCTAGCTTTGCAGCCGATCTCCACGGGCTTCCTTCACCCGGGTAACAAATCCCTGAGCCTCGGGTTATTCTCAGAGTCGCAGCTGGGAGCCCTCTGATCCGTGCCGATTACTGGGCTGTGTTTATTTAACATATTTACTGTGTTTCCCTTTCTCCTGGAACCCTTCCAACTGTGTTTCTACGACGCTAGAGAGTGAGATGTGAGAACTGATCTGCCGGCGCTGTGAAAATCGTGTTTTCCAGAGTCGGTGGCCGAGCAGGGGTATCACAAATGTGTCCCGCCCGCAAGCTAGAGGGAGCAGGAAACAAGATCTAAGATGCGGGGGCCCTGGCAGCTCCAGGTGAGGTGCTCGGGCGTCCGCACCTGTCCCTTCCCTGACTGGGTGTCGCTTTGGGGACGTGATCTCAGTTTGGAGGGGTGGGGGACCTGGAGAGAAGTCTCAAAATCTGCGCTCTGCTCACAACCTCAGCGCCCGCCCTGCTCCATCCCCTCACCCTCTTGCCCTATACCCTTGGAAGAAAGAAAGCCCCAACCCTGGCCTTTCTGCAGACTTCACCTGGTGAAGAGGATGAGCAGCCACAGCAGCGCGGTGGACAGCGTGTCCTGGCTGGCGCCGAAAACGTCGGTGACGGTGCCCGGCACGTCCTCCATGTCCAGCCGCGCGCCGACCTCGCTGACCTTCCCGGCCGCCTTCCTCTCGGCGGCTTGGATGAAGGCGTCCATCATGTCGCGGGGAGCCGTCCAGTCTCGCAGGCTTTCGCGGTGCTTCCGGAACTTGTCCGAGATGAACTTGTCAAAATTGCGGTTGAGCTGCTGGAACTGGCGGAAGGTGGTGCGCACCGGGTTGGGGAAGAGCTGCAGCCAGGGCATCACGTCCACCAAGCTGCCGGCGCCCACCGTGCGCCCAAACTCCTCGTTGTGGCTCAGCAGCTCCAGGAACTCGGCGTCGTCGTGGTTGTAGCGGCAGCCGAAGCACACGGCGCTCATGACGTTGGCCACCGCCACAATGGTCGGCTGTGTCGGGTCGAGGCCGGCTCCGCTCGCGCTGCCGCGCACCAGAACGGCCACCAACTCGCGCGCCTCGCCCAGCACATGGCCCTCGAGGAGGCGGCGGCTGCGCGGCTGGCGCGTGGAGAAAGCGCGCACGGTGCTGAACGCCGCGCGCCGCTGCGCCTTCCAGCCCTCCGAGTAGTCGCTGAAAGCTATGCTGCGGCCACCGGACACCACGCGGAAGGACGCGAAGGGCGGCCGGCCGGCAAAGGTGGCCCCTTGCTGCACCAGGGCCTGGTGAATGGCGCTCTCTCCGTTCAGCACCACCACGGGACAGTTGCCCAAGCGGATCTGGAAGACGTCTCCGTAGCGTCGCGCCAGGCGCGCGAAGGACAGGTGCGACGCCGGGCCCACGGCCGCCGCGTTTCCGATCAGGGGCCACGGGAAGGGGCCCGGAGGTGAGGACCAGGGCCTCCTCCGCTGCCTCAACAGCCACTGACCCATGTGCACTGCGGCCAGCACCGAGAGCAGCAGCAGGAGAGTGGCCTGCTGGACGGACAGCAGACTAGGCGGCAGCGGGTCGTCTGTGCTGAGAGCCATGCTGGGGACAGAAAGGCAGAGGCGGGAACCTGAGGTGTGGAGAGAAAGGAGCGAGCTCCCCGCGCCCAGCCCCCAGCCCCTGGACCCCAAGGTACAGAGGTCTGCGCAGGTTTGGTCAGGATGGCTGTCTGGAGCGAGGGCCTACGATGGCCCTGTCCACCCGCGCTCTGGGACGCAGCACAGCCTCTGCACCTCCAGCCCATAACGGACCGTGATGCAGAAGAGAAACGGCAGACGCCTAGGCAGGGGGTCTTGGTTTCCTCCGAGCTCCTGCCACCCTATCTGACCTGCAAGGGCCCGGCTGAATGGGGCTGGAAGGTGGCCCTGAGGACACACTGACCTGCGGGGAGTCACGATCTTCAACGGCGCGGGACAGCGGGCTCCGAGGAGGGGTTGGGCCCTGCTGAAACCGGGGTCGTCAGGAACCTGGAGGCCCTCCTGGGACACCTGCTGCCCGCGCTAAGGGGCTCTAATACGCCCTCAAGTCTCTTGGCGTCGTCGGAGCCAAGAGTGCGTGGATTGAGAGGGGAGTGCGGGAAGATAGGCAAGGTTTGCTCCCTGCGTTCGAGTTACAACGCGGGGTCTATGGGTGCAGTCAGTTCCCAGCCCTCACTCCCCAAGGCGGCTCTTGCAGCTGGGGTTTGAGTCTACTCCGGCAACAACATGCAGCCCCCACTTCTCCCAGTTTTAAGGACCGAGCCGGAGCAGAGGAAGCGGGACCTGGCGGGGCGGGACTTAAGGGGGCGGGGCTGGGACTCCCCTGGCCCTAGCGCTGCACTGCGAACTCAGCCGGAATCGGTCACAGCCGACCCCGCTGAGAACCCCGCTCCTGCTCCAGGGCTCAGCACAGCCCTAACCCCAGGGCGCGACCTCCTTCCCAGCGGCCGGGACTTGAGCCTTTGGCGCCCGAGTCAGGAGAGCAACCGTGTCCAGTCGCGACAGGGGACTCTCAGGCTAAGGTCGCAGTCTCCCCAGCACTTAAATCTTAAATTCTCCCAACACGTTGGCCTCTCCCTCGGGGCTCTTTGACACGCAAAAGTTCTTTTTACGGTTCTTGGGGCGAGATCCGGAAACCCTGCAAAAGCCTCTCCCCGCCCGGGCCATCCCTGGGCAACAAAGCCTGCGCCCGTTCGCGGGACACAGCGAGTCCGAGGTTTCCCCGCGAAGAACCGACTCCAGGGGGCGCCGCCCGCGGACACGAGCAGGATATCCAAGGGTTGGCGCTGGAGCCGACGCCCGAGGCAGGGTGGGTGGGGAAGGGGGTGTGAGACTTCCCGCAGGGCGCGCCGGGGTCCCAGAAGGGGCGGTGGGCGGGAGGAGGCGGCTCCCCACGCGCCAGCCAGCGCTGCAGGGCTGCAATTCTCTGCTGTCTCCTCCCCTTTGCGTGCGAGCTGGGCCTCGCGTGCACAGCTTCTGGGAAGTCGGCTCCGGTCCGCTCCCTGGACGCGGCGCTGGCTGCCCCGCCCGTGCTTCTCACGGCACCTGACACGCGGCCTGCGGCCGGAGGCCAACCCCCACCGCCCTCGGCTGTGCACGCACTGCCGCGCCCGCCCGCCCGCTCGGCCCGGAGAGCTGGGGCCGCCGCACGCAGGCCGGCTGGGGCGCTCGTGGCCGCCTCCCAGAATTCGGCTGTTTCCGAGCGGAGCCCCCTGCACGCCGGTTGGGCGCTTCCTCCTAAAGGGATGTCAGAGGTCCTGGGTCCGGGAAGTGACTGCACCTTTCCCTACTGACTCAAAGACCAAGACAGCAGATCTGGAGGCTGGAGAAGGGGAGGGATGTAACCTGTTAATCAAGCAGGAATTACACTTTCTGACCTCAGCGTCATGGAGATAAAAAGTTGCAGGTAAATGTAAAAGCTGCACATTTACCCCATCAAACTATGAGCTCTGCCTGACCTGTAAGTCTTGTTTTACTGCAGCTTGTACGATAAAGACACGGGTTCAGAGAGGCTATGTGACAACCAAATCACACAGCTGCCAAGACTGAAGATAGGAGGCTGGTCAAATAGCTCAGAGGATTATAGCCCCTGCTTAGGCAGACGCAGGGGCAGGGGCCGGGGCCGGGAGTTCGATCCCTGGGCCTGCAGTGCCCGGCCCCCGGGGGGCGCTAAGAGGGCAATTGAGATTGGGCATGGTGGCTCCCATCTGTAATCCCAGCACTTGGGAGGCTGTAAACAGGTGGATCACTACGAGTCGGATCTACGATCTACACAATCCACGCAGTGAGACCTTGTACCCGTTGTCCTAAAAATACAAGAAAAGAAAGAAAAAAGAATGAAGATAGGATTTGAACCTACATAGTCCTACAGAAGAAAATCTCAGATTAAATTCTTCCTTTCTTACGTTCCAAAACTTATCTAGAAAAAAATTGTTTTGTTTTCATAACAGGATTCCGAGGATCAGAAGAGACGGTGTGCTTACTCTGCAATGAAATTAGTTGTGAGTTGTCATCGATCCTTAATGACGTTGCAAAAATTGATTACATTATGAGGAAAGGAAGAAGTGTTTGAAAGAGTCTGACTTCTTACAGTAAAAGTCTGGCTGTTACAAAAATGTTTTTGTTGGTAAAAGTCTTTGGTACAGGGAAGGAGGGATTCACTGGAAGGGATTTCACACACCACTGTGCAGCGCTCAGCCTGGTGATGAGGTGATTTGGGGGCAACTGCTTTGGTTTGGCGATAACCTTGACTTTCTGTGAGACCTGTTAGCTACCAGTCTGTTTTAGTCGGTTTTCTGTTGCTGTAACAAAATACTTGATCCTGGGTAATTTAGAGAGATTTAGTTCTGGCTCACGTTCACAGGTTGGTTAATCCAAGAGCATGGTGCCAACTTCTGCTCAGACCCTTCTGCTCAGACCCTTCTGCTCAGACCCTGGCGAGGGACCAGCACCATTCCACGTCACGGAAAGAAGCAGGAGGGAAGCAGGCACCTGAGAAAGAGGGAGAGCAGCAGGGGCGGTAATCCCACTCCCACTAGAGCCCAACTCGCTTATTGGAGAAAGGCATCAGTCCACACAGGAGGGCTTTTCTGTGCAGAATACCTTGCAAGAGACTCCACTCCCAACAGCGCTTTGAGGAATTAAAGTTCCAGTGCATGAATATTTGGAGGACATATTCAGACCGTAGCAGTACCCTTTGGAATGAGTTTCGTAGCATTCTTACAATGCTCAGCTTTAGCAAGACCTTTGCCTAATAATTCACAACTGCTGCATAGGTCAGTCTCTCACCAGTCTTTATTTTATTTATTTATTTGTTTATTTGTATTTTAGGGAAGGATCTACAGGGTGTTCAGGGTCTCATTTCTAGATTGGACTTGTAGCGATTCTCCTGTTTACAGCCTCCCAAGTGCTAGGATTACAGGCGTACACCACTGTACTCAGTCTCAGTTGTCATCTCAGTACTCCCTAAGGGTGGGGCCGGCACCAGCATCACAGGACTGGGGATCAAACCCCTGGCCCCTGAGCCTGCTTGCTGGTGCTTTAATCCACTGAGCTCTTTGGCCATCCCTCATCGGCCTTAAATGGCTGGATCAATGGGCTGATGCCAGTTCTGAACTATCAGCATTCCTGAAAGCTTTTATCACAGTATCTCTGCACAACTGATGGCAGATGGAAGTTGCCGACATACCAAGTAAGTTTCTATTTTAAAAAGTATAAAGCAAAATTATTCCTTTTGTTTAAGTCCTCCAGTTTTCACATCAGCTGGAGGCATGCCCTCCTGCCACAGCAAATAGCTAAGGAATGTCCTTGGGCCGGGCTCTTGTTCTAAGACATGCCTCAAACCAGTTTGGCAAATGCTGTCAGAATGATAAGCCCTCATCAAATATGGCACACCAAAACCGCTGACAATCGTGGGTCTTCAGAATCCTCAGGCCTCAGTTCTTCTAGGCATTATAGTGCAAAACTAAATGCAGGGCTGCCTTGGAACCAGATGAAGATTTTGGATGAATCCTAAGGAGCCTGTTTGTGCCATTGATCTAGCTCAAGATGGAGCTGTCCTTCAAGTGAGAATCCATACCAGTCTTGTGAGTAATCTTTACAGCTTTTCAACTGAAGCAGGCATCTAAGACCCAAGGATTTCCTTTCAGTCAGGAGCACACAATATGAGGATTTCACCTCCCAAATCTCAAACTTGAATTATTTGCTGCAAATAATTTTCAAAAAGAACAGTTAAGCTAGAGGATAGTTTAAAACAGAGGTTTGAAATGTCTTATGCTGTACTGATTCCAAGAAACAGTGTGAGCTCATTTAAGCAGGACAGGAATGCGATAGCTCATGCAGTGGAAAAGGTAACTGTGGCACCTCAGAATACAGAAGGATCCAGGCAAGGCCACTTGGTCTCTGCCTCCTTGTGTCTCTGCCTGGGCTTTGCTCTGCTACACCTCATGTGCTGGGGCAGCTGGCATGGGGAATTCTGCATGAGAAAGCACCAAAAAGAGGGAACATCTTTCTCCCAAGGTCCAAGAAACACTATGGTGGGACAGACTGGCATTGGGTTCCACCCAGTGCTCAAGCTCTGTTCTGCCATCAGAAAAGTGGGAGATGAAACATGGTAGGAGTCCAACAAAAAGGCCACTGTCTGCTCCAAGTATGCATTTCTGCTCCCTGTTCTCTTTGGGCCACTGGAAAACCCAGACCCTTCACCACCATCATCACTGTTACTATTAACAAATCAACAGATAGGTGCATTTTCCTGGAGCCAGATGCCAAGCAAGCTATCAGAATGGAAGCCTTCTTTCTTTGGGGCCTTTCTCGCTAGCATGACCTTCCAACCCCTCTCCCCTAAACACACAAACATGTGCACCGAGAGGAGCACGGAGAAGCAGCAGCCCTATCTGACAAGCCCTCACCCTGGGCTGGGCAGAGCAGGCACCAGGCATATGCTGGCTGGTAGGGAGGAGGAAGGGGAAGAAGGGGACACCTCAAGTGTCCAAGAGCACTGAGGGAGTGGCAGGGGGAGGGTACTGCGCCTCTCGTGTTGCAAATTGAGAGGATTCTTAGAAGTCATACCAAAACTCTATGCCTCACACCAACTTTCTGTTTTCTCCCTGAAGACTCCGGCCTGAGAAACACAGTTGTAGTCTTCAGTCATCATTTCAAAGATGAATCACGTTATGTGCTAAGGGGTGAGGCAGGAGCTTCCTATTATAATTACACCACTGTAAAATACATCTGGATTTCAGAGATGCCATATTAAAATGATTAAGATATAAAAGTTTTAAAAAGTGAGTTTAGAGTTAATGAAGCATTACATATATATGCTAATGGGCAGTCTCTGGACTCACCATCTTTCCTTGTATGAGGCAGTAGTAGTCCTGAGGTTTCTTGGGCAAGGAAGGAGTTGTGCCCAGGAGTGTTGGCTACCGAAGCATCCCTGCTTCCTATGATATTATTTAATGTAGGCAATTGACAATTCTTTAATCCTATGTAAATTGTAGGTAGAAGCTGCTTTAGAAAGTCCAGGCCCGGGGAGATAGCTCAGTAGAATAAGCGCTTGCCTGGAAAGTGCAGGGTCCTGAGTTCAATCCCCAGTACTGCGAACTCACTTGTACTGACCTAAGTAAATCCAAGAAAAAGTGATTTGCTAAAACAATGTAGGTTAAAATACATTTCTTTACCCTTTTGTCTTCCAACTTGGCTTCTCTAAGGACTTTCTGTATGACATCTGATTTAAGCAAAAACTACGGAGCTGCACTCTACTATGCTAACT